CCCCGGCCGCGCGGGCAGGGGGCCCAAGCCCCGCCCCGGAGACCACCAACCTTGCGCTGGGGTCATCCGCGAAGGTACCTGGGGAAAAAGTCCCGGCTGCCCGAGAGCAAAAGATAGCGGATGCCCCGTGTGAGGATCGAACTCACGACCTTCAGATTATGAGACTGACGCGCTACCTACTGCGCTAACGAGGCCCCTGGTAGCAGCCTGGCGCCTAGACCTTTGGAGAGCCGACCGGAAGAGCAGCCGGCGGGTGGCGCAGCGCCTCGTTCCGCGGCTTCTCTGCCCGCCCGCGCCTAGCGATCGCCCGGCGCTCGCGCCCTGCGCAGAAGCGACACCACCCTGTCGGATGCCCGCTCTTCGCTCGCCTGTTTAGTTCCCTGCGCACCTGTTCACCTCTGTACCTTTTCACCTGCCTGTCCACCCGCCCGCCCGCCCGCCTGCTCGCCTGTGCACCTGACGCTCACCGACGCAGGTGCACGCTCGGAAGGCGAGGCAGGAGTGGCGCGCACAGCCTTCTCCCGCGCCCTTCGCGCCTCGTAGGTTCTCCGTGGACAACTTATTTTAAATTAATAAAACGCGACCGTAAGGTGCGGCTCCCACGTGGCCTTTCCCGGCCTGCCGCGGTGGCCCCAGTCCTACCTGCCCCGGGGAGGGGAGGGGGCGAGTGAGCCAGACCAAGTGCCGCGCAGCGCCCTGCTCCTTCTACCCAGGGAAATAACGCCAAGCGCAGCGGGTTCGAGCTAGTCCTCCGGGCCACACCTCACGGACTGCCCTATGCCTTGCGTGTCACCTCCCCACCTGAGCCAGGCTGGTGCCAGCAGCCGCTCGCACCCAACCGACTCAGACCTCCGCACTTGGGCAGGAACATCCCCCCCAGATGTGTGCACCCTGTTCCGCCGGGCCTCTGGAGGGGTCCCTTCTAGAAAGCACGCGAGGGACACAATGGTCCCTTCATTACAGATCCACTTACTGTTTTATTATAAGCGCTTGCTCGTCAGCAGCCTCTCTGGATACATCCCTGTCGTCTCTGTGCCAGCAAACAATGTCACCATGAATGTTTGTTTGACTGGATGTTTGTTAAATGAAAAAGAAGTGCAGGCTAAACTAACGGGCAACATGGCTTATGAACCAGGCCAATGCAGAGAGGCTGGTGGGCTCAGACCGCAAGAGACGCAGGCTGAAGGAAGCCAAGCACAGAGCTGCTTGACTTAGTTAATTGGCAGGCCTTGAAGTCATTGTGTCCCCGGGGCTGGCCTCCAGCTCACAGGATTACAGGCACCACGCCCAAGTGCACAACTAGATGTTTCCAGAATGCCTGACTGTCCTGTGTGCTATGTTCTGGGTCTCTAAATTGCAAAGTGGGCCCTTGCCCTGTGCATTGCGGTTCATTAAAACAAACGGAAAACATACCTACCCGGAGAATAGCCTCACACTAGGCGCTGGGTATAAAACATAATTTTCCCTAGAGGAGCTTAGAGTGTGGCGCACACAGGATAACTTGGCTGAGGCTTCCTCTTTAGTCCACAGTCTTGACTGAGCTGTGCGGGCCCCCGCGACATTCAGCGCATGCGCGTCTGGAGCTAAGCGTGCAGCAGGCTTCTGCTCGGTGGTGAGACTGCATCTAGGGGCCGGCGCAGCTCAGCTGTGGGCCGTGACCAGCCGTCCAGTGGCCCTAGGTTCCATCCCCGCTCCACACACGGGTGCACACAGCCGGTACAGGGCACTCAGACAGCCAGCCACGGGAGGAAGGGCCCTTGTGGGAGAACCAAGAGGGCCACCGCTCGCCCCCAGCTAAGGCAGCGTGGAAAGCAAGCTAGGTCTTGCGGGCGAAGGCAGGAGGACCCTGGAGAGCCAGGAGGCACTGGAGAAGGGCGCAGGGCCGCCAGAAGGAAGGAGAGGAGCGCAGGTTGCACTCCGGCAGGTGGCCAGGGAGGCAGGCCCAGGGATAACGCGGAGCCCAGAGGAGCTGCTGGGACGCCAGCTCAGCTCTGCGCGTGCGCGGGGTGTCAAGGCCCCGCATGCGGACGACTGTACCTGGCTGCTGTCCCTTTGGTATCTGATATTGAGAGGTGACACTGGGAGCAGCCCGGCGAATGTGTGACTTCGCATGCACTACTGCCCAACACAAAACCGCTTTGGCTTTCTTGCTTTCTTTTCTTTTTCTTTCTTTTTGAGACAGGGTCCCCCTGTGCGGTTCAGGCTGCCCTTGAAGTCACTTCGTAGCTCAGGCTGGCCTCGGACTTGCAGAGATCCTCCTGCCTCAGCCTCCCACATGCTTGGATTAGGGGCGTGCACCACCACACTCGGCTCATTTTGCATCATTTTAAAAAGATTTTTCTTTCACAAGGCCATTTTAAAATATCAAGGTAGGTGTTGTTTGTTGACTGAAACTGGTAACGGTGGTGCATAAAGGGGTGCATGCTGAAGGGCTGAAAATGTTTGCCAAGTGGGGGTACGCAGTGGCAGAAAAGTGCCCGAGAAGCCCTCTTCAGATGCGTCCTAAACGCGACTGCAAACCCTTAAACAGAACTGCACCTTTACAAGCAACCACAAAGCGGGGTGCATTGGTCATCCTTCTAGCTCAGCCTCCCAGGGTGCTGGGGTTACAGGCGTACACCCCCACCCTTGGTCGCAAAAGGGAACTCTTAGAACTGGTAATTTCCAAGGAAATAAATACAATGTACTGTCGGGCTCATTTTTCAATTAGTTGGCAGAAAAAAGAGGCCGCTGGAAGTGTTGTTTCCTGGGCTTGGAAACCGGCAGCGCGGTGCCCGTCCGCCAGTGCGCAGACGCGGCTTCCCGGCCGGCGGGGGAGGGGATGACGCGCCCCGAGGCCCGGCCTGGCCGCGCTGCCCCGGGCGCCCTC